TTATATTCTTGTTTGCGATACGATAGTAAATGATATTAGAAGATAATACCATTTACTATCGTATCGCAAACAAAAATATTAAAAATATAGTTGAATTAATTTTTTCCCGAAAATTTTTTTCGAATTATTTTCCTGCAATGAAAATCATTTCAAGAAAATAATACAATGAAGAATCATCTTTTTAGTATTTCTTCAATTTAAATTGATTAAAAACTTTGTTACACAAGAAAAAAACATATTTAAAGATTTTCATTAACACTCATAAATATTTTTATTGTACTCTATTCGGTCAGGTCTAGTATATACAAGGTCTTAACGGTATGCGTATTCTTTGGCAGTAAAGCTGGAGAAATACTAACATAAAAAAAGCTCTCGTAACCGTAATGGCAATTTTTCGTTCAGTGTGAATTCCGTGTTTCGAATATAAAATTGTTAAAGAAAAGAAAAACGGAAAATAACAAACTTTTCGCCATCTAGAGTGTCAGTTCGCATTACTAGCAACGATGCAACTATCAGCGGAGGTATCAAAATGGCAGCTGGGCAGCTTACGCGGTTTCTCGTTTTCAGCCTCCTGCAGCACAGCAGTGATGTCAGTGACGTTGTAAACACGTCATTCACAGGGATCTGATTGGTCAACATCTACATTTTACGTGACCAGAAAAAATTTTTCACTGAGTACTGTACCTCTCAAGTTCATTTTCCAGAAATTTTACGGGTGAGGGACATAAAATTTTTATAGTTTTGGCTTTCAGTTTATGTTTTCAGTGGTGTTTTTCTATAAGGCCAGGAACACACATGCGTAAAATTGTGTGGCAGAAAACTGAATCAGAAATCAGCTTTCAGTTCAGTTTCTGTTTATTGAATATAGAGGAGTTTATTGAATCCGTTCGACCACATCAGTATCATGTATAAAGACAAACAACGTCTATGGATGGTATAGGTGCAAAATTTCAAATAACAGGNGTCCCTCCTCAACAGGTATTTTAGTAGTATATTCTATATAAATTAACAACAATAAAATAAATTTTAAAATTACATTTAACATTTACCGACAAACTTATCAATAAAATTCTTACAATTTTTAGACTTTTTTCTTTCGTTTTTAACTGTACTGGACATTCAATTTTAACCAACAAAAACAATATTATTGTAAACTTAAGCCTGTATTTAAACAAATTATTATATTAATATTTTACGTTATATCTGTTTTTTTTACATTTATTTACTATTTTTTTACAACTTACATCTCTTTCTGTTCAATTTAACTAGCTCCTCGTTTCCGCTTCTTTCGATTGTTTTTTTTTTATCTTTCAGACACGGCCCTTCCTCTATGATTCTTCGCCATGATTGGTGCATTTCTCTACCACTATTATTATTTATTCTGTTATTTTGTCTAATTATATTAATATGTTCATAAAGTTGTCTTTTGTAATTATTCTTTTCTTTTTTCCTTATTTTTATTGAATTTAATACTATTTCACAGCCTGTGGTATTACAGTGCTCCGCTACTACTGAATTTGCATAATTTCTCTTGATTGCTCGGATGTGTTCAATTATTCTTATTTTTAGTTTTCTTTTCATTTCCTTTATATATATTTTTTCTGGTTTACAATTACAATTAAAGGAATACACCGCTCCTTCCTCTTCTAATATGTCATATTTTCCTTTATTTCTATAACATAAATGGTTTTTTGTTGTATTTTCTTTTTCCGGTATTAGATTAATTCTACTGTTTAATACTTTTTTTTAATTCTTTCAAACATCTTAGGGATATACCTTATTTTAACAAAACTTTTTTCTTTATCTATTAATTTTAATTGTTTATCACTTTCCAGTTTTTTAACCATTTGTTCAGCAGACTTTTTGGATAATCATTTAACATAAACATTTTTATTATTTCCTCCTCTTCTTTTTCCTGTGTTTTGATTTCACTAGTATATTTTATACTTTTATATTTTAGTAAGTCATAGTAAGTCAAGTATATTTTCACTTTTATATTTTAGTAAGTCAAGGACATTGAAGCATTTTAAATTAATTAAACAATTTATCTTTATTCAGTTGTTTCTTATGTTAGAATTTATATTGCAGATTTCCGAACAGCAAAAAATCGAAAAATTGGAAGATCTAGAATCTGAAAAATTTTCTAGTTCAAGAACAGACTGCAGATGTTTGGATAAAGACGATTATGTCAAAGAGACGTACAACTGCGGAAATGACGTAGTTCCTACGTGTGCTTCTGCAGACGTAACTGAAGATGTAAAAAAAACGACGAAAACTGCAAGATTTGTATATTGAAAGTATAAAAAAAACGTAAAAGAGACAGCGAACCAGAGGATAATGAGAATTTTTCGCATTTTCGCGAACAATTATAAATTTTCGAGCTTGTTAAAGAATGTGACTGTCGACACGAAATTCTAAAGAATATGAGGATGAATTGGTTCTACGACGACACTTTATTGGACCAGACCGATTTTGACAGTGAAGATGACGTTCAAATTGTTATTAACTCACTGGAAGACGGTTCCAAAGATGACGACAAAGAAAACGTGAATACTGATTGGAAAAAAGAAAATCCAATTTGACATCATTAGACATTTCTCAATGGTCTTTGAAGAAGAGGAAGATCGCGGAAACGAGTAACGTACAAAAGAGAATTCGGGAGATGGAGAGAAAGAGACAAGTACGCAAGGAAAAACTTCAGACGAATAAGCAAACAAGGATATCCAAAATGATCGACGAAAACGACTTTTATCATTCGACTGACAACTCGACGTTTTCGGAAGAAACGAAATACGGAAAAGGAACAGAACAATGGAGAATGATGGTGGAAAAGGCGGATAGTTCCGTATTTTTTAATCTGTCTTACAATTTCCATAGTTTGGAATCTTCTCGACGATCTTCTATCGAGTGAAAAGAGAAAACCCAAATTGCATCTTAGAAACGAAGATGGAATTCAAACGAGTAACGAATACATCTGTATCTCTCCCATAACTCATCTGTATCTCCCACATAAGAATTCCATAAATTCCAATGAGTTTCATTGTCAAATTCATTATCAAAAGTATGGAAAATTGATAAAATGCGTTTCGCAAGAATCCGTCTCGGAAATGTTGGAATGGTTTGATAACAGCGTGAAGAAGGAATTCTGCAAGGAAAAATTCGTAAATTCCCATCCCATTCCATATCGTCAATGTGAGGAGATTGATCGATCGCCATTTAAGAGATCAGAATTTGCAGTATCAATAAGAAATACAAAAGGAGTCGATCAGAAAATGGAACAGTTGTTCAATGTAGGAGTGACGAAAAATAATTGTTTACGAAGAAACTGGAAGCAATGAAAATGATGAATTTCCTAAACCATATGGAAGGTTTAGAAATTTTTACGGGAAAGGAAAGATCGGATGTCACTTCTACTCCTAACTGCAGGGCGACAAGGGAACTTTTCCAATGTGATTTGGATCTTTCCTTCAATTCTTCCTCTGAAATCATTCCAAATGACAAAGATAAAGGAAATTAATGAAAATCTTTCGAACTGATCGAAGAATACTGTTATTAACTATACNNNNTCTCCGTAGCGTGGCGCTGGACGGCGGAAAGTAGTTTGGCTGCCCGATGACGTTTTACCGAATTATAGGAGTTTTTTTACCATGTTTGTACGGACACCGTCGCAATTTTTTCGCCGTCATATAGGAATCCGAACTATAGGAACCCGTGTTATAGGGGGATCGACTGTATATCAAATTATTCAAACTTCAAGACACCATTAAAAATAAAAATTGCATTATAGTGAACATTTTTTTTTTTAGTTAACTGTATAAGTTGGCGACCCCACAGAAAGCCCGTCGCGACTCCCTTCTGGGTCGCGACCCATAGGTTGGGAACCCGTGGTCTAGTAGAATTGATAAATAGGCCTAGTATTTAGATCACACGTTCTTTATTTGAATTCGGAATACGAGTCTATTAATTAAATTTTCTATATTATAGCAGAGGAAGCGGAGAAAAAAATGGAAGGTACAAAGGGATAGATATTAGTGTTGTAACGAATAGTATATTCGGCCTCAGGCCGAATACCGAATATTCGGCCAGGAGCGTGGCCGAATAGCCAAATATTCGGCCAAACTATTCGGCTCGATTATCGCACGTACGAAACTTGGTGCGCAAACCGCATTATGGCAAGGACCCCGCTCTCTATTGGCCCGCTATCACTACGCTTCGCCAATTGCGTTAATTCTTGACAGTTGAAGCGGACAGACATGAACGTCATGGCAGTATGTGATAAGTGATGATATCAAATGTGGATAACAATGAAATGTACTACACGTGTAAATAACGAAAAAAGAACAGAGAAGGACCGCGAAGTGAAAATGTGAAAATAAATATGAAATTGAGTCGATAACATAATCGAACAAGTCGAAGCAGCTTATTGGCGCGAAATTCGCGGCCGTCAATGCCAAACAATTGTTGTCATAGACTTCGAAAGCTAAATGTTTGTAATGAAAGTCGCTTAGTGTGCACGGGCGAAAGCCTGGGGCCGTTCGGGCTATCAAGCTGTCTCGAATCTGAAATCATAACTGTGACTTATATCGACGTCCTATCTGTCTCTTTTCTCCGTTATCACCAGGCTGAGTCACTTAATTGTAAAATGGGAACTCTACGACGGAAAAGTGACGAATCGAAAGTATCGTGAGCGCGTATTGTGATGTATGCACAGGCATACATGGATTAGAGCGACAGAGGAAAGAGAAAGGGAAGAGCAAAGACGAGCGCTTAAAAAGAAGGATAGGCAGGGTCAGACCCTCAGATGTGCGACGATTCTCCAACGAATAGGTGTGTACGTGTGATGATCTTTGTAATTATAAATTGTGAATACATGTGACTAATATTATTTTCTTTTTTATTTTGTGCATGTTACAAGTTATAAATAAATATAAACAAACAACACTAACTCTATAACATTAACTCTAAATACCAAAATGATTAATTTACTGTGTTTNATAGAATGTATCGTATAGTCTAGATGTGCTGTTTTTAAATACTTTTGACATTTATAAATAAATTTATCTATAAAATATTAAAAATTTATAAAAGTATTTTGTTAATGAATTTCAAAATTCTGCACAACAGCACATTGATCAAAGCAGTCTGCATTTCAATTTTTCAATTTATTTATCAAACTATTAAATCTAAATTTCTTAGCTCAATAGGATAAGCATAGCAATGCTAGTGAATTATGCATTAATAGCATTCATTCACTAATGAATAAGTCTATGCTAACAATAGCCTCAAAAAATATACATTTTTTAAGATAATAATAGGTTCCAAGGTATCTTACAATAAATTCAGCAATCAATCAAATGTAAACAACTTAATCTGAAAGGCTTATCTGATATCATTTGCAATTCATCAGTGCAAAAACAAATTACAAATCCTGCAACTAATAATTTTGTATAAATATGTCACAAAATTTTTTTAAAGTTACTTAAAAAAGACAAATAAATCACTATTTTGTATATTATACACAATACACAATTAACTATTGAGATTTCCTAAAATATAAGAAAATGTATTGAGTATTATATTTAAAATAATTTCAATATGGCACATCAAGTTACAGTTCAATTTAAATGACCTATAGCTTGACACAGGCCTCAGTTTTGTACTTAAACTGCAAAACAACAAATAAATGTTCTTCACTTTGATATTAAATAAAAAAATTCTTTAAATATACTAAGAATATAAGTTGATACTAAACTAATGATATGTTCAAGAAACTTTCCTCAGCAATTTAATCCTTTCAAATTATCATATCTTATTATCTATGAATTAAATATGAAATTAATTATTTAGTAATAGCTAACAAAACAAAAAACATCTTGTGCTGAATTCTTAATTTTATCTATCTATAATTATTGTTTTAGCTAGACAATGTTTTTTAATTTTAATTTTTTTTTCCTTTGATAAATCATGCATATTTGAAAAATAAAAGGAAAACTTCCACACAAATGTGTTATATTTAACTACTGATGTGTACTTGATGTTTACACATTAATTAAAAATAAACTGATACTCAACCTATGTAATTTAAATTTAAACATCAATTAAATCAGAAACACTAAATTAGTTCAAATCTTTTACCCAGTGGTAGGATGTCTGTAAACGCAATTGGTCATTGTTCCAATTTCATATTTGATGTCTTTAGGAAGATAACTTTGATCAAGTTCATATTCAACAACCAGAAACATACATAGTGTCTTCAAACTTGGGAAGAAATCTAAAACGTGTAAATCATCATGATCTATAAGTACCTGTTCTAAGTTTGGGAATACGATATCCCTGAAATGTTCTTCATGATTTGGATTAGGACTTGTTCCACCAAAGAGATACAGATTATTGGAAATAAGACAACAACACTGTCGTCGTCTGGGACAGGGTCCTCTTCCTCTAATTTTCACCTGAGACCATTTACTTGTCTGTGGGTCATAACAGTAAAAATCTCCAAAATGTGTAACAGTGTCTCCATTATAGCCACCAAAAATATATAATTTGTTATTGTACACAAATGCCGAATGGCTCCGTCTTCCCACCGGAACCATACCAGTAATCTCTGGCTGAACCCATTTCATAATGCTTGTATCTAAGTACATAAGTTTATTACAGTACACTTCTTCTTGTGAGTGATAGGATCCCTGAACGTCACCACGTCCTCCAAAGATATACATCCTATTACCAATAGATGAAGCAGAATGAAAATCCCTCCAACGAGGAGGCTCGCCTACAGGGACTATGTAAGTCCAGTTCATGGTTTTCAAATTGAACCGATGAACATCTTGAGAGAATCTCTGAATATCCTCTTCATATCCACCAAAGATATACATATAATGATCTATAACACAAGCAGAATGACCATCTCTGGCTCCGGGAATGTGTCCAGTAACCAGTGGACGTGTCCATTTTCTAGTGAAAACATCAAAATAATACAAAATATTACAAGCTCTATTATCATTTCTACCTCCCCAAAGATAAGCTAAATCTTTATAGGCAACAACAGTATGGCCATATCTTTGAAATGGTATCTCAGTGGTATCGACTGTTGTCGAAGTTAACGGGAACCACTTCAAAGTGACTGTATTGAAAACGTGAATGTCAATAGGTCTACAGGTTTGATAATCTTCTCCAGTTCGATAGCCACCGAAAGAATATATATTCTCTCTTATAGCAACGGCTGCATGGTTGACTCGACAAAGTCCACCATCGATGCGCATCGTCCACAACATCTTAGAATAATACAACGTAACCAACTCGTCAGACCAAAATATTAAATGTCCCAAGCCAAGTCAACAATTCGAATAAAATGACTCCAAAATTCGTCACCAGAGGGCATTAATAACGCATGTAATTTTTACTTATTTTTGTTCTAATTCATATAATAAAAATTATAAAGTATTTAAATTAACTAATAAACATGTATTAATAATAAGTTTTACTTATTTTGATATTAAATAATAGTAATTATTATTATTTTAATACTTGACTGTTTCTTGTTCTTTCTGTTTTTTGGGGAAAAAGCACAAAATTGGTGTCGAAATTATCATACAGGAACACGTGGCGAAGGAAAAGTAGTTACATTTTTGTAGAAGTGCTTTTCTTATAGTCTAATAGAAATGCTTTAGTAGATTTTAATATGGAATGAAAATGGCAACAATTGATCATTTACAGATACAGATTACATATAATGATACCGCTGAAACAATCGATCTTTAGTTTAAGCCAGGGGTCGCCAAATAACATTTTTGGGGGTCGATTGAAAAATTGAAACTAAAAATCACAGATATAACTACACATATTATTATGTTTTTGAATATTGTTTCAATGAATTTAATAGTACGGCTACCCGTCAAAGTGTAAAATGGCTACTGATCAAGTCGCACAGGACAAATAGAAATTGCCGAGTCCCTGCTCCGGTTTTTACATAGTACTGTACATGTCAATCATCCGCAGCATTCGTAAGCTTGTGTCTCATTCTCAGTACGCTGACATTATTAGCACCTCTACAACTGTTTTTTAAGCCGCTGTTCGTTTAATTTTAGTATTTCACATATATACAATAAATGTAAAATTAAAAGAAATCTATTAAAATAGTAAGAGTTTGTTTTTTGCTTGTAACAAACTATTTGGTGTGGGTCGATGTGAGGTTTCCAAAAGTTGTAGACGGGTGTTTCCCAACCGCCGGTTCATGGACAAATGCCGGCTCGCAGAAAAATATTTGGCTGTACTGACGCCAACGGCTCTCGCAGACTATATAAAAAAAGGGTTCACAAAGTATAAAAAAGTGCATCATTAAGCAAGAAGCTTCAAACTAAAGGATTCAACATTGAATCATATAGTTTGAAGCTTCTTGGCCTTGAAAACAAGGAATATTATTTGTGTTCAACATATGACGAGGTTGCATGAGACAATAGACAAATATCGTCCATTAGTTTCTTTTTTAGTTGGAGAATAGGCTAGAAGTCATGAATTTTCTGTTGTTTGTTGATGGTGGAATTTCGCGTTCCATCGGGGATTAGGTAAAGGGCAACACTAATGAAAAGGGAGCACGAGCCCTGATATACGGATGCCCCTGACTGACGCTGGCGCAGTTGATTATGTAACATTTAAATACTGTAGTATTCTAGAGTTACTCAGATAAGCAAAATCCCATCACCACCTCCTCGCGGTGCCGGCTGGGAACATCGACCTTCGAGAAGAAGCTAACGGTGAGGGTCTCCAACGTCAGACGGTGCGACGCGCCGGTTGGAGTATTTTCGGTCGTATCAACATGCAATGCCCAATCAACATTTAACGAATACTGCTAGGGCGTTCGTTCCCCGTAGACGACGCACGTCATTTACGCCCGAACGGCGTGAACAGTCAGAAAGGGCTACCCGCTCCTGGACGTGGCGGGCTAAAGAAGATAGTCCAACCCCTACAAGTAACCACCATCAACATCGGCACCCTCACCACCCGAAGCGGAGAGTTGGCAGCTGCACTTAAAATGCGGCGAATAGGCAGTGCCTGTATTCAAGAGACAAAGTGGAAGGGCTCAAAGGCTCGAGAAAGGATTCAAACTATTGTATAATGGTACAAACTCATACCAGAATGGTGTTGGCATAGCAGTTAGTGAGCGGTTCCGTGTTAACATTACTGATGTCCAGCGCATCTCTGACCGGCTAATGTCCGTGAAGATTGAAGCCAGCAAACTAACTATCCGAGTTGTTTCCTGCTACGCCCCACAACAAGGCGTCCTGAAAGATGAAAAGGATGAATTTTGGAAAAGCCTTGAGGCGCACCTCCGGTTGGTCGGTAATGATGAATTCCTGATAATCGGTGGTGACCTCAATGGCCACGTCGGCGCAATAGGAGAAAATTACGAGCGAGTGAATGGTGGGAGTGGATTCGGGGACTGGTACGCTGAGGGTGACAGTATCTTGGAGTGCGCTGAAGCTTTCGACTTGGCCATCGTCAACACTTTTTTCAAAAAGCGAACCAGCCACCTAATGACCTATGCCAGTGGTAAACGGATGACCAAATAGACTACTGCTTCATTAGAAGACAGGATCTAAAATTCGTGGTTAATGTCAAAGTAGTCCCATCAGAGAACATTGCACCTCAGCACCGCCCACTCCTCATCGATTTTCACCATAAGCTCAAGCTCAGCAACACCTCAAAACCTGAAAAGACTGGACCTGAACGAATTAAGTGGCACCACCTACCTGAACATAAAACTCAGTTCAAGGAAGCAGTTGGTCTGAGCATGACCAACTTCAACAACAATCCCGAACAACCAGTGTCCATCATTTGGTCCAGCCTTGTTCAACACATTCACACGACAGCCTCAATCATCCTAGGCAACACAAAACCTGAAAGAAGATACCTCGACAAATGTATTTGGTGGTGGAATGAAGAAGTGCAAGTAGCCGTCGGAGAAAAAAAGAAGGCATTCAAGAGATGGAGGCAATCAGGTGCCGAAGATGACTATGAGCGATACCGGAACCTCAAGTCCTCAGCAAAGAGCGCAGTTGCAACAGCGAAGGCTGCCCACTACAACCGCCTGTATGAGGACCCTGACTCGCCAGAAGGAGCAAATAAGATTTATTGGCTTGCCAGCACCCGACAACGTGCAACCCAAGATATACACCACGTAAAGAATATCAAAGATGACCATGGCCAGATACTCCGTGATCCGTAGGCCATCCTCCAAAGGTAGAGTGAACCCTTCTCAGCCATCTGCAATGAAGAGTTTCCAACCCTCCAATTCACCAAGCAGACCCAGTACTAGAACCAGTCTTCCTGATATCGCCACAAGAAGTTGGAAAGGCTCTCATGAAAATGAAGAATGGCAAAGCACCCGGACCAGACAATATACCCACTGAAGCATGGAAGCTTCTTGGAGGATGAGGGGAGGAGGCCCTCGCAGCCCTCTTCAACAAGATAATTGAAGACAAAAAGTGGCACCAATCTGATCAACTAGCATCACGGTGCCAATTTGGAAGGGTAAAGGTGATGTGGCAGACTGTACCAACTACCAACCGATCCGACTCCTGTGCCATGCCATGAAGATATTTGAGCGAATACTCGACACTCGGCTTCACCAGATAGTCAACCTAACTCCAAACCAATGTAGATTCATTAAGGGCTGTGGAACAACAGATGCAATACATGCTGCCCGACTACTTCACGAACGATACCGGGAGAAGAACAAAACTCTCCATATGGCCTTCCTGGACTTGGAGAAAGCATTTGACCGTGTTCCACGTGACCTTATCTGGCGTTCGCTCAGAGTCCATGGTGTCCCAGAAGCCTACGTTCAATGGACCCAGCTCCTGTACACTGATGTGTACAGGAGCTGAACATGGGTGAGGTTCCCGTGGGTGCTTCACCCATGTTTAGCATCAAAGCTGGCGTACACCAGGGATCAGTCCTCTCATCCCTCCTTTTCATCCTCTGCATGGACTGTACAACAGCCAATATTCAACGTCCACACCCATGGACTTTACTCTATGCAGATGACATCCTCCTTGCAGTAGAGTCGAGACAAGAGTTACAGGACTTGGGGCCATATTCTGGTCACTGTCTCTGGTCTCTCGTCTCTCGCAAGCCGGTCGCTGATTGGCTAATCCAAATGATTAGCCAATCGGCGACCGGCTTGCGAGAGACGAGAGACCAGAGACAGTGACCAGAATATGGCCCCAAGTCCTCCAGTGGAACGACTGCCTTGCTGGTGTCGGCTTCAGGCTCAACATCAAGAAGACAGAATACCTAGAGTGTGGGGCCCAGACGAGCGGGTCAATTAACATTAACGAAGAAAACCTTAAGATACCCGCTCAATTCAAATACCTTGGCTCACTCATCAGCAATGATGGTGAAACCACCCTGAATGCAAAGGCACGAGCCAATGCAGCCTGGCTAAAGTGGCGGCAATCAGTAGCGTAGCGTAGTGGGGGCGACAGGGGCGGCCCACCCCGGGCGGCACTTTTTAGGGGGCGGCAAAATTTCACAATAAATAATAATAATATCTTGTAAAACTTTTAACCATTTTATACCGTATCCACATACACCTCCAATATCCAATAGAGCTGTCATGAAGGTTATTTACATTACTCCTACCCAAGTCTCCCTAGTCGCTAACTGTAACTAATTTAGAACTGGCGTGCACTACACATTATTATTTGCATTGCAAAATGACATACGCATGCGTCAGGAACTTTTGTTGGAACAAACCTCACCTGCCGTCCAGGTCAGCGATTTTAAAAAGGTGGCAACACTAGCACGGAATTTTTCATAACTGTACTTACTCTGTGACGAAACTGAATTTTAGTTTTTTAAATTGAGATATATAAGGAGACGGCGAAATTTTCCTTTGCCCTGGGCGGCTGACACCCACGCTACACCACTGGCGGCAATGCACTGGTGTTTTCTGTGACCGTCGTATGCAGACTCGGCTGAAGGCGAAAGTCTACAAATCCGTCGTCCTCCCAGTGGCCCTATACGGGTCAGAATGCTGTCCATCAAGCACCCGCCATGAACAAACCATACCATGGAAATGAAGATGTTTCGCTGGTACCTCGCTTTACCCGACTTGACCACATCCAGAATGAAGACATCCGAAAGATCATGAGAGTGGCCCCTATATCTGAAAAGATGCTGGAAGCAAGACTCAGATGGTATGGCCATGTCATTCGTAGTGATGAACATTCAGTAGCGAAGAGAGCATTACAACTAAGCCCACCTGGACGACGACCCCGAGGGCGCCCCAAAATGAGGTGGATGGATCGACTGCAAGATAACATGAGGAGAGTAAACGTCACGCCGGAAGACGCA